TAAAAAATAATCCAGCCACCAAGCCAGAAAACATGAAATTGATTATTACTTTACTGTTAATTGGTTTAGTGGTGGACTTGGTAGTGTTAGATTAATGGTTGGACTTGATGATCTTAAAGGTCTTTTCCAACCTAAATGATTCTGATTCTCTGATTTGTGGTCATGTCTGTGGAGTGCAGGGCCAATGTGCAACTTAGTCACCTAAAAACTGGGAAACGGTTATATTTAGTCACTGTGAAGGTTTCTGGAAAACAGCTAGGTATGCCTTAAATGGCTCATGGGATTTTTTTGGGGATTAAGAGGGTTTTGCATGTTGATTTAGCTGTGCTGTAGTTGAAAGTAACACACAGCAAAACAGGAGATAGGAAACTTGGTATCCTTTTCCTACTAGGATGCAGAAGGCTTCCTGTGCCTGAAAGACAGATGGCTGTGATCCAGAACTGTTCTATCCTTTAATTATTGCCAGGTTACCAGCCTTTTTTCTCTTTCCCCCACCTCCTTGTCTGTGAAACCCCGTGTCTCCAAAAGCAGGAAAAAAAAACCCCAAACAATCCAACCACAAAACAAACCAAAACCAACAGAGAACTCAAACTTGCCATCTGTCATGGTAGTATGGTTGAGGTATAAGCCATAGCATGGTTATGTGATCAAGAGGCAACAAGCCAGACTAAAGTGGTGAGGCAGGAGGAAAAATAATCTCAAATACTAGCTGTGTATAATACAGTGGATTCTGGGAGAATGCTGTAATAGTGAGAGAAACATGGTAGCTCTGTAATCTCTAATTGGATTGTTCTTATATCCTCTTTTCCTTGACTACAGTTTTTCTATTACTTTAATGGAAAGCCATACCCTGGAAAGGACATACCATTTAAAGACAGGATCACTTGGGCTGGAGATCTTAACAAGAAAGATGCTTCTATCAGTATATCGAACATGCAGTTCCGGGACAACGGCACTTACATTTGCGATGTGAAGAACCCACCTGACATTGTTGTCAAACCAGGAGAAATCCGAGTTAGAGTTGTGGAGAAAGGTATTCACCCTATATAATTTTTTTTCTTTCCTTTTTTTTCCTGCCCCCCCCCCCCCCCCCCGTGTCTATATCACTTTTCTTGCGGGTGGGGGAGTAGCCTGGAGGGAACAACTATCTTTTTAATTCTCTTTTTCCAGGAACTAATAATCAAAATGATATTCTGTCAGTTCTTTAAAAAACTGAATGTCATACCCTTTTCCTCTATACCCACTACTTCCTATGCTTGTAACAAGTATTAGCAAAAGCTGATGGAAGCCTTGATGAATACCCATCTTCTCATTTCAAAGTCCTATGAATTTTTTTTTCTATATTATGCTACATCAGGAGTTAGGAAGACTTTTGAAATCTTGGGAGCAAGGAGAGAAAGTGGCAGACTCTTCTTTCTGGAACCCATCCAGTATATATACTCAAAACAAGCCTAATCATCTGGCCCAAGCATGTACTGACAGACAGTGAAATGCTACTGTCTTCCATGTGAAGGTGTTTGTGTTGGATGTGCATTCAGTCTCTTTTAGTCAGATGTTCTTACAGTATCCATGGCGACCCTTACAAACTGCAAGGGCTGGCTACTTGCAGGCATTTAAGGCTTCTGGTTAGCATTTGGTAACAGTGATCACAGTTCGAGAACACTTGCATTCTGTATGTCAATTTGTCTCTTGGCCATCCAAAACATTTGATTGGTCTAGCTAAGCTGGAGGTCAGCCAAAGTGTGACTGTTCCTACAATGAAATGGTTCTTACAGGGATCAGATTTCCAAATTTATATTTAATAAGGACAAGAATAAATGTTGAATTAAAAAACGGCAGTGCTGATACAGCTATTCCATTGGATTTTAATATGTTAGGAAAGATACCTATGTGTATGCTCTAATTAGAATGATACTGCTGCTATAACAGGTGTGTACCCCTGCTCATGAGGTCATTCCATGTACTTACATAGGCAAGGTCTGTATCTAACTCTTCTCTTCACAGAGCAGTTTGAGTTGGATGGGACCTCCGGAGGTCCCGCCATCACTTAGAACTTTCTGTTTCTTGGAAGTTTGAAGTCTGTATGAAATAGGGTCAGTTTATTTTCTTACAATGTATTTGGTAGTCTCTATGAAGAAGCAGTAAAGCAACTGCTGGTTTGGCTAAGTCAGGCTGTCTTGGCAAAGCCTCTTCAGATTTTAACCCAGCTTAAGCAAATGAAGACTGACTTCAATACACTAATTCAGCTGATACTTTTTAACAGACTTGCATGCCAACTTCCCCATAGGTGGAGCATCTGGACAAGAGAATCTCACTGTTTCTGAAGGGAACCCTGTACTTGCAATACTTCTCGTCATCAGAAAAATGCTGCAACAATTGTCTTAAAATTCTTAGCAAGACCTTGAAAACAGGTTTTCAAGCTATAGTTGTAATGCTGTCTTGCATTCTGACTTTACCTGAAAGTACTGCTCTTGTGATAGGTTGTAAATCATCCTGAACTGAGCTGGAGAAAGTTTTTCAATTGAAATAAGTACATGTTGACTCCTGGGTTTTTTTTTTTTTTTTTTTTTTTTTTTTTTTTTTTACTATGTATACATTTAATTGTTCTGAATCATATGTCTGGTGTTATAGACTGTTCAAAGCCACCTATGTACTTTACACATTTAAATGATCTCATAGATGCTTGATTAGTTTTAGATTTTGGATTAAACATTTAATAAGTTCCGGTTTGGCTTAACTGTTTAAAATTGCCAAGCCAAGCTAACTCAGCTGATTTTCACTGCAGTATCTACATAGTGCTTGCACAAACAGCTCCATCAACTACGTTGGCAGAATCCTACTGGCAGGAATGAGAAACAGGACTGTTCTTTCACTAGTGCGTCTGAATCTGGAAAGGACTACTGTTCAAAGCCTAAATGACAGAAATTTGTAGGGAATTCCAAGTCCTTACATTAGGCTGCCCCTACTTGTAATAGGAAGCTACTTAACACTGTGTTCAAGACAGCTTGTGTTATCTGGAGGTAGTACATCTTTGATCTGAACTCTCATGGGGGGAAAGACTAGAATTGTTGTATGAAAATCTTTATACTTAGCAGCAATGGAAAACTTCAATTTCCTGTCTATTTCATAAAACTGATATTAACACACTTGCAGCAAAAATGGAAGTTGCTTTGAATTATGGTGATATTTAGTGAAAAGTGTTCTTTGAAAGGCTGGATTTTTGGCTTGTGTTAAGCTATTAACTTAAATGTTAGCTTTCGGTGTTTGGTCATGTAGCTGGGACTGTTACAATGAATTCATTGGCTGCTCTGCAAGTACTTATGAGGAATTCGTGTAACTGTGGAATGCTGAAAAATATAAGAAAAGCATGGGGGGGGAGACATTCTTCAGCTGAACCATGTGGTCGTAAAATTGTGTGAGCTTTTCTATAGTCTATTGGACCATGTTCTGAGAGGCAATAAAGCCAGACTCTAGTTTCATGTGCAAATAGTTGCATTTTTTTATATGGTCTTGAAAACCTCTGTCAACAGAAAATAACTGTTGTCCTTTACTCAAATTCAACCAACCAAAAAACTCCCCCTGAGTCAAAGAAATGACAAAACTATCAAATTTTTAATATCACTCTTTCAGCAGACACTCTGCACTATAGTTTTGGATTGCTGCTTACTTTCTTGCTCTGAAAAAGTGTGTGTGGTTTTTTTTCTTGTGTACAAGGCTACAGCTGGTCTGCTAACAGAAATGCATGTCTGCTCTGATGCTTTTGCAGACAGTTATTCCTGCACTTGGAAAGGTGAAAAAGCACAGAAACTAGGGAACTCCTACTTCTTATATGCCTCAAAATAAATTTATCTTTGCATGGGGCTCAAACATAATCTCAATCTTCTGTACCTGAAAAGTATTACCATTTGTAGGACTTTCTTCCTTAATAGCAGATGGATCTCTTGGCTGCTGAAAGGTTCTGGAAAGAAGGGATGTCCTCCTCTGAATTGTGGCACTCCTGTCTTCCTCTTTAATTTCTTACTAAGATTTCAAATTACCATGTTACGAATTGGCATCTGTGATGGGTTGACCCTGGCTGGATACCAAGTGCCCACCAAAGCCACTCTGTCACTCCCTTCCTTAGCTGGGCAGGGGAGAGAAAATATAATGAAAGGCTCATGGGTCGAGATAAGGACAGGGCGAGATCACTCACCAATTACTGTCACAAGCAAAACAGACTCAACTTGGGGAAAATCCGTTTAATTTATCGCCAATCAAAACTGAGTAGGGTAATGACAAATAAACCCAAATCTTAAAACACCTTCCCCCCACCCTTCCCTTCTTTCTGGGCTCAACTTAATTCCTGATGTCTCTACCTCCTCCCCCCGAGCAGCGCAGGGAGATGGGGAATGGGGGTGGCGGTCAGTTCATCACACGTTGTTTCTGCTGCTCCTTCCTTCTCAGGGGAGGACTCCTCACACTCTTCCCCTGCTCCATTGTGGGGGCCCTCCCACAGGAGACAGTCCTCCACAAACTCCTCCAACATGAGTCCTTCCCACGGGCTGCAGTTCTTAATGAACTGCTCCAGCGTGGGTCCCCCACGGGGTCACAGGTGCTGCCAGCAAACCTGCTCCAGCCTGGGCTCCTCTCTCCCCAATGGACCCACAGCTGCTGCCAGGAGCCTGCTCCAGTGTGGGCTTCCCACGGGGTCACAGCCCCCTTCAGGCACATCCCCCTGCTCCGGCGTGGGGCCCTCCCCGGGCTGCAGGTGGGTATCTGCTCCCCCGTGGGCCTCCATGGGTGCAGGGGCACAGCTGCCCCAGCATGGGCTGCACCAGGGGCTGCAGGGGAATCTCTGCTCCGGTGCCTGGAGCACCTCCTGCCCTCCTTCTGCACTGACCTTGGTGTCTGCGTAGACGTTCCTCTCACATATTCTCACTCCAGCTGCAGTTTGTGTCCCATTGTCTTTTTTTTGTTGTTTCCCTTCCTTAAATATGTTATCCCAGAGGCACTACCACTATTGCTGATGGGCTTGGCCTTGGCCAGCAGCATGTCTGTCTTGGAGCCGGCTGGCATTGGCTCTATTGGACATGGGGGAAGCTTCTAGCAGCTTCTCACAGAAAGCCACCCCTGCAGCCCCCCCTGCTATGGTAACCTTGCCACGCAAAACCAATACAGCATCTAACACTGGAGAGCTAGGAAAGCTGATGACACGATATTTGGCCAAATGATGGTATGATCAGTCAAACAGCTGGAGGTCAGGTAGCACTTCTCCTGAAAGTCACTGAACTCAAAATGAACAGTACTAAACATAAGCCCTGTTTTCTTAGTATGATGCCTCTGCTTCAGGTTACTGTGTTGTGCTGCTCCCTTCTGGGTAAGTATGTCAAAATAGGCTTGGTCTACAGACTGCAAACTTGCTGGGAATGCTTTGTATAAGCATGGTCTGTGGTCCTTGCTGGAACGAGTCCAGCAAAGGGTGACTAAGATGATTAAGGGACAGGACCACCTTTCATAAGAGGAGAAGCTGAGAGAGCTGGGGTTGTCTAGCCTGCAAAAGAGAAGAAAGGCTCAGGGGGATCCTCTCACCAGGTGTTTATGTACATTGATAGGATCTACAGAAGACTGAGCCAGGCTCTTCTGTGGTGCCTAGTGACAGGACAAGAGACAATGGGCGTAAATTAAAACACAGGAAATTGTGTCTGAACATAAGAAAGAAAATTTTTACTGTGGTTGAACACTGGAATAGGTTGCCCAAAGAGGTTGTTGAGTCTTCCATTCTTGGAGATAGTCAAAACCAAACTGGATGGTTGTGGTTTAGCCCATCGGCAACCAAGCACCACACAGCTGCTTGCTCCCCCTCCCCCTCTGGGGGGATGGGGGAGAGAAGTGGAAGGGCAAAAGTAAGAAAACTCATGGGTTGAGATAAGAACAGTTTCATAATTGAAATAAAATAATAATAGTAATAAAAATTGTAATGAAAAGGAGAACAATGAGAGAGAGGAACAAAACCCAGGGAAAAAAAAAACAAGTGATGCAACTGCTCACTGCCTGCCGACCAATGCCCAGCCAGTCCCCAAGCAGTGATTGCTGCCCCCTGGCCAACTCCCTGCAGTTTATATACTGAGCATGACATCATATGGTATGGAATAGTCCTTTGGTCAGTTTGGATCAACTATTCCGGCTGTGCCCCCTCCCAGTTTTCTTTTGCACCTGGCAGAGCATGGGAAGCTAAAAAGTCCTTGACTAGTGTAAGCAGTACTTAGCAACAACTAAAACATCGGTGTGTTATCAGCATTATTCTTATACTAAGTCCAAAACACAGCACTGTGCCTGCTACTAGGAAGAAAATTAACTCTATCCCAGCCAAAACCAGGACATGGACAGAGTAGTGAGCGAACTGTGCTAGCTGACCCTGCTTGAGCAGGGGGGTTGGACTGAACAACCTCAAGATGTCCCTTCCAACTTCGATGATTCTGTGATGATCAGATGCAGGTATCTGAGAAAGACTTTTCTATGTAAGATGTTTTACCTGTTGGATCTTGTGCTGATTCACTTGTATTTGGTGCAAGTAGCTAGTGTAGCATGGAGTTTTGTAAGAAACCCTCTGGTCTAAGATGTTCCTTGTATTAAACATGATGTGGGGGAGAGGGGAGGGACTCCGTTTCTTACTGGGAAAAGCTATAATGGTAGTCTGTGTATTCTTTATCTTGTAAGTCTTTTGTACTCATTCTCTGGTTGGCTTTTATTTCTGGCTGCTCTGTCTTGGTCTGCCCTCCCCCAAAATTATATTGGGGAAAATGTGAGTAAAGCAATACTGTGCTCCTATAAGCATGTTTCTAGTGTCGTACAAAGATCCTGACTTAAGAAGGGAAAGAATGACTCTATAAAAATGTTTAGAGATGGACTTTGAGACACCAGAATCATGTATAAACACTCTTAGTAGTGATCATGGGTAGTAACTAGGCTGTCTGCTGCATGCTACCCAGAGAACACCCAACCTTCAGCACTCCTAGTTGGTTGGCAATGTGCTACATTCCAATCTGCTTTCAAGTGTGCCTGCCTTTTCCTGTTGACCTCGCTGGGAATTGCCAGATGAATGTAACTTTTTTTTTTCCCCTTCAGAAACAAAATGAGACAGGGTTGTCCTCATTGTCACTTGTGTTCCCTGACATGTAAAAATTTTTGGTTCAATATAGACTTTCTTCTGAAGGACGGTGACATTAAGAACACTCTTGGTGCGTGCTTTGTTCATACATTATTCTGCTGGCTGCCTGCTTTCGCTACCACTTAGGCTGCATGTTACAATTCCTGGATATTACATTAGTGCCTTCTGCTCTAAATGAATCCAAGGTCAACAGCATTTGTGGTTTGCACTTCTGTTAATCAGGGAATGCAGAAGAGTTGAATGTTTTCTCCCTTCTCTCCCCAGACAGCCTGCCTGCGTTCCCCATTGCCATGGTGGCAGGGATAGTCATCGGTACGGTTACAGGTCTCTCACCGCTCATCTCTATTGTCGTGTGTCTTGTCATCAGAAAGAACAACTCTAAAAAACGATACTCTGGGTAAGAGATCTCCCTCCTCACCTGTGGATGATGTGAGGAACAGCAGCAGGATCAGAGGGAGGGCTTAGAGCGGGGTAGGAGTTGTTTCAGCCAAGTCTTGGCAGCCATGGCTAGGGACAGGGTATGGCCATGTGGAGCACTGGTCATCTGCCTATAATGATTATCTCTGTACTGTGTTTGAAAAGACCTACTGACCATGAGTTGCACCTGAAAATCACTAAATGTTGGAGCTGATCCCCAGCCACAAGCATATATGCCCTAAGAACATGTAATCCAAGATCCCCTAGCTGTGGTCTGTTCCCCTTCCCTTCCCTTCCCTCCAGCCCTGCTCCCCGCTACCACCCCAACCCCCAAAGGAAAAGTGCCACACATGCACTTTTAAGAAATGCTCTGTGTTGAGATTAAGATGGGATTTGTCAGTTAGCAGTGTCTGGCTCCTGAGCCTGGACTATACTTGCCAAAACCCAATTCATCTCCACACTTCAAAGGAAGGAAGGAGTAGCCACTCTGCATCCATTCTCATTCACTGTCTGTTTTTTGTTAACTGTTACTATCCCTGCAGGGTTTTTAGTGTTAGGAAGGTAACTCCAAAGTGAAGCACAGATCTTTGAGGGGGCATATGAAAAAGCAACAAGTACTAACAAAGGCGGACTTGGAGTCCTGTGGTGATGGAGCTTGGTGCTGGTGGGCGAGGCGCTTCCTTTTTTCTCCTCTCTAATTAGCTGGTAATTTGCTTCTATAAGAAAGAATGAAAATTATGTATGTAGTCTTAGAAACAAACCCCAGACTTATAACTTTCTTCTGTTCTTCCCCAACAAATATTCCTGCTTCCTGCAGGTTCTTTGGCTTGCCTGTGGGATAAAAGAAAATAACTCCAAAAATAAACTTGTGGGGATTTCTAAATTAAACTTTGCCCTGTCCTTTTCCCAGTTGGAGAGCTTAGAGAAAGTGAGTTGGCTATTGCCCAATGGTAAGGCTAAATACAGCAAAGGTGGCTGTGTGTGCTCAAAATTGTGTGGAAAGCCTGGTTTTCCCTTTCTGCATGTGTCCTTCCCCTAAGAACTGAAAAGAAGCCTGCAGCGTCATGCACCAGCAGTGTGCTTGAGGTGGTCCGCTTGCCTTGCTTCCCAGTGACCTGCTCTCCAGTGTCTTCCTGCTGAAGGACACATGCTGGTGCTGAGCCTGGAGCAGTAGTTTATGCACTGTAATTTCTTGTAGTAGATTTAACTACTCTTGGGAAAGTAATCTCTGAAGTTTAAATACTGCTTTCACTGACCATGCCAGCTCTGCATGACATGTAAAGAGAAACCAAGTGTGCTGTGACCCCCTCCAAACTTATAGACTGTCTTCTACATGATGCTAACCCAGTGTGTGGTGGCGGTGGTGGTGGTGAGATGCACTTACTCTTAGATAACCATTCTGCCTTGAACTGAGGTGGGCTGGGGCACTGCGCGGCATCTGGAATCCCTGCATGGCCACAGTCTCCGTTCATGCTCTGACTTTGGTGTTTTTTTGTTTTTGTTTTTTTTTTTTTTTCTTTCTGCCTTGGTGTGCTGGGATCGGATCCTGCTTACCTTCCTCTCCTTACAGAGATCCTGATATAGACGCCAGATTGGGAATGTAACAGGGCTGGGTCTTCTCTTCCAGTCCCACTAGACACCATGGTAACTAATCAAGTTGGTGGTTGCTGTTAATACCTGTGTGTATGTGTACACATTTCCTCTTCCTTTGCTGACTAACCAGCTAGCTCTCTACTAACATAACTTCACTGTAATTTGTGCTGGAATCTGTTGGCAAAGGGATGATGCATTTCACTGGGTACTTGGGTTTCATTGTCTCATGTCTAACTGGGGTGGGATTGCTGCTTATCCCAGATGGTGTCCCTCCATCTCTTCCAACAGTGAACTTGCCAGTGCATTGACTAAAGCACAGGAAATTTAGAGCCCTTTCTGCGTCAAAAAAACAGTAAATTCCCTGTAAGTGTTCCTCTGGCTCAGACAGCTCAGGTGTTTGAAAAGTTGTGGTGATCTAAGTGCATTTAGTTGCTTAAACCTGAATCATGACTTTTAGATAGTGTAGATCTGAGGAATTTTGTGAGTAAAGCAAACAATTCATGATTACATCATTTTGGTAACAGAAGGGCTGCTTTGTCTCTGAGACAGTAGAAGCCCCTTGCTGTGATGGCTGGGGGCAGTATTTTTTTTTTTTTTTCCTTACTGCTGCTTACTTACTGTATGAGTAGCTAAGTGTTCTATGGTTTGACTTACCAAAGGATAAAAAATTATTGCCCTGTGAGGAGGTGGTCTGCTTAACGTCACTGTCCTCGTTTGTTTGCTTCTGTACTTGCTTTGTATACTGTCTGTCTACAAAGATTGGGGGAAAAGGATGCCCAGTGGTCAGAGAGTTGTGGTAGCAAAGGGAACTCCTTGTGTCTGCTGTCAGGGAGGTGGCTAGGTTTCTTTCCTGGGTGCTTCGGTATGAGGAGGTAGACCTAGCATTTAGAGACCCATTACTGCGTTGCCCAGAAGCTACTAACGTTAAGGTTAAGGGCATCTGCTCATATACTTAGGTCTGTGGTATTCACTTCTGTGTCTGTCACAAGCTTGTTTTCTTTTCGGTTCTGCTTTAAGCAGATGGAAAGAAGCAAGAGAGTGAAAACGGGCAACCTTCTTTTCGGGGTGTTGGGTCTCACCACAAGACAGTTTTCTTGTTTGAAAAACAAGATTTGCCTGATTAGATATTCAAGTAGCTATATTAGGGCACAGAGCTTACATGTCACGTGTGACTCTTAAAGTAATTGCTCCAGAGACTAGTGCCTGTTGTGAGTGGGCAGAATTATTTTGGGATTGTAGCCTACCCAAAAGCAAGGGAACTAATGTGGAGTTTGGTACGAAACCTTGCTGGTACAGAGAGCTGGTGGCTCTTGCAAGTGTTTGCTCTAACTGTAGCACTGGTATAACACTTGCCTCAGTGACTGGGACTGTTTAGCTTATAGTTAGAAGATAATTGCTGTTTACCACTGTTAACTGAGTCTGAAGCCTCAGTGAAGAAAACACACATGGTTTTAGACAGGTTGGGTTGAATGGGAATATCTAGGGAACAGGGGTTTTGGAGAAGCAGCGTGCTGTCCTATGTTAATAGTTACTCCTTCATGTTGCTTACCAGTGAGGCTCTGGGAGGAAGGATAGAGAAATGTCTGGGGAGAGATGGAGAATTTTATGTGTTTATTTCAGAATCCATTACGTTCATTTTTACTTTGGCATAATCTGCCACATTCATCTTGCCATCACTTGTTTTTTGTTTTTTTTTTGTTCCTTTTTTTTTTTTTTTTCTGTGCCTCTTGAACATTGTCGTGCAAACTCTGCTCTGCCACCTCGTCAGCTGCAGTACATCTGAGAGCTTGATGTCACCGGTTAAGCAGGCTCCGCAGAAGTCGCCCTCCGACACAGAGGGTCTGGTAAACAGCGTGCCCGCCAGATCACACCAGGTAAACTGCTTCCTGCTGCTTCCCGAAGCAGGATCCTCCCTGAGTGTGGGGAAGATGGTATGGAAAAGATAAAGGCAGGGCGGGACACATGAATTAGGTGCTGTCTGTTAAGGTGATGAGGGCTGGAGGGTAAAAGTGTCTGCTCCGAACAAGGGATGGGCAGTAAGCTGGGTCTGGTGAACTCTTCCGTAGAAGGCTTAGTGCAATTGAAAGAATAACATCTTGATATTAGTTGAGATGGAGTTTTATGCTCTTTTTCTACTAATGTACAAAAAAAGATGGTTCTGATCTTGTGTGTTAACATACGCAAGTGGTAGTAAGGTGCAAGGATGAGAGCCTGGCCAGGATGAGGAGCGGGCGGTGGGTAGCTGTTTGACATAAAGACAGCATTATCTACTAGGTGTTAATCACCCCATAAAGCTGCCTAATCTGTTCTAGGATTGTAATGGGGAGGAATTTTACTTACTCTCTCATCACTGTGAAGGTGCATGCTTTGTGGCATGCCCTTCCTTCACAAGGAAATGAGCCAGCCCAGTGCAAACACTAACCAGTGATGACCAGTTTGAAGATAACTCCTGCTGCTGAGAGCTCTCCTCTTCTGAGCCACACAACTTTTGTGGGCTCGAAACTGCCACGCTTTGTCTTGTGCTTGCTGCTGTTGGCAAAGTTCTGCTGACTTTGAAGGAAAAAGGTGGCTCTTATCCAGACTTAACATCCCATGGGAAATTAGTCAGAGGGGAGAGTGCATGAGTCAGACAGGGATCCTGCACAATATATGATTTCCTGTTAACAGTGTACAAGACTTCCTTATTTGTAAACTGTTTCTTACTTCTTGATTTGTGTATTCCCAGCAATTTTCCTGTGGAGTGAGTTTAAGTCTGAAATGGACATTTTCTTAATTCGCAACCTTTTTGCAAGTGGCTGCAGAGTAGTGTGTGAACTGATGGGTTTCGAAGTCAGAGTTAATACCCGATTTCTTAATTTCTCCTGACAAAATAACGGAGATGTGTGTTAATGTGTTAACACTACAGGAAAAAAATACAGTGCTGACAGTGAGCTGGATGAAGTCAAAGACCCTACTCTGTTGGGCTTCCAGTCTGGTTTTGAAATGCATCTTGTTCTTTTGCATTTTGAAATGCATCTGGTGCAGTATTTCCAGAGTTTTAGCGCATAGGCCCACAAAGCTACCTACTGACTTCAGAGAACAGTTATTCTCTGAACATAAAGGCAATATACTCAGGTTACAAGATTTAAAAATAGTTCAGATTTTGACTGGAGTGGGTCTAGTAGCAGCAGGCTGCCTATAAGGCCTAGATAAAGCTCGTCTTTTCTAGTTCATGGGAGGGGCTTCTAGAATGGGTGAATGAGACAGGTGATTCCCCCCTGCCAAAAAAAAAAGAAAAAAAAGAAAAAAAACTTACGTGTAGGATGTATGTTACAGTAGCTGTTGAAGTCAACTTCCCTAGGTCAAAAGACCAAGATGTTTTATCTAATTACTGTCATAGTAGGAAGCAGTACATGCAAGTGCCCTGAGAGCTACATGGAGGAAGAGTTTTGCTGTTCTGCACTTACATCTTGAAAGCAAAAATACTTTTATATTCCCTCTAATGTTTTGGCGTGAAAATTACTGTGTCCTCACCCTTCCGTGTCCCCAGTGTTCTGGGTCTCAATGTACTGGAAGGAACATGTCAGAGTAAATCTAAACTTTGTAAAGTTAACTCAGAATCAGTGTGCTTTTGCCCTTCTGTAGTCACTCCAGTCTGCTTGTTCCCTGACAGAGTCCTCCAGGGTCTTCCCACAGGTAAGTTCCTAAAGGAAACCTGAAGGGTGAACACTCCTGACCTCAGAAATATGGCAAATAGCTTTAGTTTTGCTTAGGTTTAGTTTAGTTTTTTAGTTTTTTTAACCTGTTTTGTCAGGCAAAGAGTGCTTTGTCTGGATTTTCTTTTCTTGGCAAACATTTGTAGCAGCAAGTGGTTCCTCTGCCTTCTGTTAAGCATTTGCCCTATCTTTACAGAACAGCAAGTAAACATATTTACTTTTCTTTAAAAAGATCCACAATAAAATCAGGGAAGATCAGATTTTGAACAGATGGTTTAAATCAGTGTGGAAACTAAATTTCAGTTGATTACACTTAAATTTTTAACTTCTAGCCATTGGTTTTTTTTTTCAAAAAAAGGGTGCTATCAACATGCAAATTAACATATTTGAAATCTAGCATCACATATAAGTAAAACGTGATATTTCTTGGTAATCAAGAAATTAGTTGTAGTATTCAAGCTTTTGAGCCGTTGTGTGGGTGAAATGCTGATATTCAGATTCTAGCAGTTCCCAGAAGCTGTTGCAGGCTGCTTGCTGATTCGGGCACACTTTTGTGTCTTGGCTTGCCTGGCAGTTTTAGTCCAGTGGTTAACACAGTCAATGCTGTGGTCAAACTGTAAAGGCCCGTGGATTTCCTTGTGGCCTCTTACTTGCTAGGAAGTGTAGGAAGTGACTGAATGCTTCGTGCTTCACTGGTGGAGAAGAACTGTGAATACAAATATACAACCCCTGCCTCTGCAAGTTAAAAACAGTAATAGAGGTGTTCACTCTCAAAGAGTGGCGTTTAAATTAATGACGTTTATTCATTTTGTTATTTATGTATCAGTTTAAGAATCAGCGATGAAGTATTTGTCCACATCACTTCTCAGCTGAAAGTGTGCTTGTGCCTGCACTTCCTTTGTGCTTTGGGGGCACGTTTATCAAGTGTGGACCTTGCTTTCTGGAGTGCCCCAGAGTGCTGAAAGTATGCATGTCTGATTCCGTGAATGTTCAGCTGGTTGAATCAACTCCACTTGTTTTCACTGTGTCTTCCTTCTCAGCAGGTATGTTCTGTCCTGTCAAATTTGTATGTCGTGTTTCTTCTCCATGCCATCATTCTCTAGTGACTTATATTCTACCATGACTGTTACTTGGATGAGTGAGAAAAACATTTCCAATGAAGGCAAGAACTATACGTGTTTCCCACATGGATGTCCTTGTTTAGGTAGTAATCTGGATTGCAGCAGGCAAACTGGAAGGCAGGTGTGTGTTGTGCCAAGATATGCTCACTCTAAGGTGGCTGTCAAATTTCCGCTTTGCAAGTAGCTGAGTATTCATTTCTGGGCAGGCTGAAGGACCACTGTTGTTAAAGTGTAACTTCCACAGAAGCGTATTTCTGATGTACAGAGCAGTATGGGACAGAGATCCTAAGCAGGTAGGTCTGTCAGTGCAGAAGCAGGGAGCACTAAAGCTACAGAAACTTAAGTGCAGCTCTCTGGCTTTACTCTTTCTGGTTTAAGACATACCTGAGCAGGCTATGTTTGAGCTCTGTTCCAGGCTTTGAACTGGACCCCAGGACCCTGGGAAGGAGCAGTTCATGGTGCCAGGAATCTTGATTTAAATCTCAGGTGAATTTCCTGAGCGGGTCCAGAAGAGAGCCACCAAAATGATCTGAGGGCTGGAACACCACTCCTATGAGGCCAGGCTGAGAGAGTTGGAATTGTTCAGCCTGGAGAAGAGAAGGGTCCAGGGAGACCTTATTGTGATCTTCCAATACTTAAAGGGGGCCTTCAGGAAAGATGGGGAGAATCTTTTTAATAAGGCCTGTTGTGACAGGACAAGGAATAACAGATTTAAACTAAAGAAGATTAGATTTAGACTAGACATTAGAAAGAAGTTTTTTACAGTGAGGGTGGTGAGGCACTGGAACAGGTTGCCCAGAGAGGTAGTGGAGGCCCCATCCCTGGCAACATTCCAGGTCAGGTTGGATGGGGCTCTGAGCACCCTGATCTGGTTAAAGCTGTCCCTGCTCACTGCAGGGGGGTTGGGCTAGATGACCTCTAAAGGTCCCTTCCAGCCCAAAGCATTCGATGAGTCTATGATTCCTGGAGCTGGAATCTGTGGTAGTTGCAACGTCTTTAAGAATCTGAAAAATTTGAAAATACTGTAGACCACTGTTAGACCATCATGGTCTAACTTTGCAATTCCTTTTTCTTTGCTGCAACTTGCAATTCATGACTCTGCTGACAAACTCTTAGCAAGGTATCAGTATACCTGCTACATTTTTCCCTTCAGTTCTGAATAGAAAAATCGCAAGGCTTAGGGAAGTGCTGGGGCTTATATGGCAGTGCTGGTCCATCTCCTGGTTCTGAAGAGTCAGGATGATCTTATTTGGGATTAGGTGAAATTTCTGAATTGTTTAGACTTTTTTGAAGCTTTTACTTGTGGAAGAAGAGTCTTTACAAAGATTCAGATCACTGGAGGTATCAAATGCAGGAAAAAAAATGGCCCTGGTGCTGATTATAATCAGCTAGAAAAACAGTTGGCAGCAAATCAAGTAGATGGAGCATTATAATAAATCCTTGGTCCTCCTTTGTGTTAGCTAATCTACCACTTCTTTAGGTGATAGCAAACCCACTGACACAATGATAGCTTGGTTTGGATCAGGTGATCACGCCAGTCAGTCTCTCCACCACCACCTAACATGCTGGTTGCAGCAAAATAACTATATTTAACCTGGCATAAAATTAGAATAGAGATAAGATAACTGATCCTGAGTGAACTCCTGTGGTAGAAAATTGACCCATCAGGATTACTTGGACAAAACTTGAAGTGCCATAGTGAGTACTTTATGCAGTTGTAGGTTTATTTTTTTATTTTTTTTTAACTGATAGGAAGTGCTCTCGAGCTGAATTTATCATACTCTTGACCTATGGGCTCAGGCAGATGAGACTGCCAAAATTGCTTACAAATAAACCTTATGATCACTTCACCTCGAAGTTTGTATAGACACTGCACTCTAATTGGAGTTAGTAATGTAATCCTGATACAATGTTGGAGACCAGAACAACATGAGAGCCAATAGCGGAAAAAGAGAAAAAAACAGTGGTTCTAATGAGACTTGAAACCCAGAATTTTCTAAGACATCAGTGTCTTTTTTTTGAGCATTTTCTCAGTCTGCTATTTATATTCAGCATTTTATATCTGCTTGCAAGTTTTCATCCTTCTGTCCATCTCTTTCCTCTACTCTTTATCACTTGGGAAATACTTTACCCAGAAGGAAGAAAATTTGGATTTAAACCACTTCTGAAAGAGAACAAGGTATTTATCAGGTGCTCGCTTTGCCATTGTGTTGGGGGGAAAACAGCTGTGTGGAAGTGTACCTGTGGTCCTTCAAGGACTTAATTTTTCTGTACAGAAGGTCTCTCTTCATCTCTGGCCCCTAATTGCTTTGGAAGATAAATAGAAGGATTTCTGGCTCAGTTCCATAGAGATGTTTTCTAATTTGGCAGGATACCAAAAGGACTGGGGAGAAGGGGGTAGGAGAAATGCCTGTGAAGGCTACTTATTCCTGGGACACAGGGGAAACAGAAACAGTTTTAAATGGATGAAATGATTTTGAAGCAAAAACTGCTAAAAAAGCCGTAACCAAGCGACAAGATCTCTCCTTGTAATTTCCCCCACCACCCCCCCCCCAATAGGACAGTCCCTTTCCCTCCTGCTCGGGGTGCGGTGTGTGGGTGCGTGGTCTCTCTGCTGAGGTCACTTGGTAGATGGTCGCAGCCTTCTGCTCTGTGCTTATGTCAGTCGGGGCATGCAGAATGGGAACTGCGGGTCAGACCTTCCCATTAAAGGTCCCACATGTCTTGTTGGGTACCTGCTCTTTATAGGCTGCAGTCCTGACCTCAGCCTATCTTGAATAGCTGCACTTTGCTTTCCTGTGGGCTGTGCTTTGGAGGACACGCTGTTTTAGGAAGGCGCTGGTGTGTTTGCATACCCTGCTGAAAGATGGTGCTGTAATGTCCTCCACTGCACCCCAGCAAGTAAAATGAAGGTGTGTGGCCATGCTTGCCCAGTGTGTTTGTGGAGGTGCTCGCTACCTGGGTTGGCTCAAAAGTCAGGTAAGAATTCTGCATTACTGCACTGTTTCAGTATTTTCTGGCTCACTGCTGTGTAAGTCTTGATCCCATCACTTGCTTGGGCAGTGACTGGTGTCATAAGGTGGCTGTAGGTTTGTTCTCTCCCTCTTATGCGAGTGGTACAGCTGTGCTGGGATTTACAGGACTTGAGTGGCAGTATGGGAAGTATACTCTGCTGTCTACTGGTAAATCTGTAGTACAGTTCCTCTTGAAAAATATTAAATCTGGCATGCATCTGACTTTGCTCCATAGCATGTAAGAATTGCTGCTATTCAGAACAAAGGATTCTACATTGTGCTTTTTGTGAGAAGCAAGCAGCCGTAGCAGTATTGAAGGGAGGAAATGGTGCTGTTTGGCATGCTACTGATAGGAGAAAGGTGGCAGACTAGAGCTCATTTGTAAGGGGAGGGTTCATTCCACCTGCTTCAAAGTGCCGTTAGCAGCCATAAAAGCTCTGTGGTCTTGCTTTAGCTTTGGTCTTGCTGCAGCCCATGCGGAAGTGAGGGGCAATATGGCCTATTTTGAAAAATACTGATTGTGCTTTTTTTATTCTGTTCTCAGGGCCCAGTCATTTACGCGCAGTTAGATCACTCTGGAGGACAGCACAGCGACAAGATTAACAAGTCAGAGTCTGTGGTCTATGCTGATATTCGGAAGAACTGAGATGAGATCCTAAGCTATCCAAAGGAAAACACACATTCAGACTGGAATTGCTTGAACAAGATTTGACCCAGAGAACTCACATGTGGCCTTTGATGCCTAGGCTAGGACCAATGCATGTGCATACAGAGGGAAAGATATATATGTATTGTGTGTAAATAGTCTATTTAATCGTACAGAAGTGAGACCAATGTTGCATGTTGAAATGCGGTAAGAATTTTGCTTATAAATTGCCAATATTCTTTTTTGTATCTTGTGTGACGAGAGAGAAAGTGAAAACTCGCATCACAATTTAAAAATATTTTTATCTTGATTATTAATGGAGAAACTGGAAGATGCCTGAAGATTCTAGATTGACCTGGAGATTCTTTTTTTGCTTATAGGGCCTGATTTCTTCTGTTGAGGTGAATATAAAGAAGGTGTCTTCTTTATATTCACAGAGTTCTTTATGTATACAGGGTATTCACCTTTCCTTGGTCAGATTCTCAGTACAAACTGCCTTCTCACATAAACTAGATGCTCTCACTTGGTCTTGTAAGCCAAATTGTGACTCCTAGCTATCAGAAATTTATGTCTTAGCAGTGTAAGTGAAGGAAATGTTTGGGCCTACCCGAGTTGTGTAACACAGGTCACAGAACTGTTTAATTCTGTATTGAGCCCATCTATTCAAGCTTAGTGCTTTAAGGTACACAGATAATGTTAATCTAATGAATTTTGTGAAATGGTAGTTTACCTGTGAAAACTTAAGAGCTAGTGAGTTAAAGGGATAGAAAGCTATAGCTGTAGGTGGTTGCCTCAGACTCTGTTGAACCTTTCAATGAAATGTTTCTTCCTCGAAGCTCTGTCATTTCATATAAGCATGAAAAAGGTCTCCAAGGGATCTGGAAGCTGTAGTACTCCCTCACCTCTCTCCCATGGCTCTGTTATACCACTGTCACTTCCATAGAGATGGTTTATCTGTTCTTAAAAGCCTGTAGTGGAGGCTGAATGACCTCTGGAGGAGATCTAGGGCTTCACTCTAGTTTTTTTGATGTGTGGGTTTTTTTTTTTTTTATGTAACCTATACTTGCACAGAGGATGCGCAGGGCAGTTTATTTCCTTCCTCTATTCAAGTGTACTACTTGAATATAATTTCCCAGCTTCTTGTTTCTAGATTAAACTCCTCATAGATTGTTAAGGATCTCTGATTGTTCTCTTCTGCTGAAGAGGATATTTCTTTAGCTGACCCATTTGTATCCTGAAATCTGGAGTTCAAAACTAGAAGTGGCATTCCAGCTGAGGTCTTCTCAGAGCAGCATATAGTAGAAGGATTTCTGTTTTGTGCATCTTTATGTGGTGTTGGCTTTTTTGTAGCAGAAAACAACTTTCAGTTTGGTCTACCATAATCCCTTCTCTCTGATTCTTACCTATTTCCTAGTTCAGTCTATTTCACAGAATCAGTCACAGAATGGTTGAGGTTGGAAGGGACATCTAGAGATCATCTAGTCCAAACCCCGCCTCCTCAGGCTGGGTCAGCTAGAGCAGGTTGCCCAGCACTGTGCCCAGTTGGGTTTTGAGTATCTCCACAGATGGAAACTCTACAACATCTCTGGGCAGCCTGTTCCACTGTTTGATCACTTAGAGTGATCAAACAGTAAAAAAAAAAAAGTGCTTCCTTGTGTTCAGGTGGAATTTCCCTTTTTTTTTTTTTTTTTTTAAATTTCTGTCCATTGTCTCTTGTCCTGCCAGTGAGCACTACTGAGAAGAGTAGTGCTCTTCATTCCCTCCCACCGAGTATTTATACACATTGATAAGATCCCCCCTCACGCCACCTCTTCTTCCAGCTGAACGGTCCCAGCTCTCTCAGCCTTTCCTCATACAAAAGATGCCCCAGTTCCTTTATCATCTTTGTGGCCCTGTACTGGACTTGCTCCAGTAAGTCCATATCTCTCTTGTACTGGAGAGCCCAGAACTGGACACAGTACTCCAGGTGTGGCCTCGCCAGTGCCGAGTCAAGGGGAAGGATCACCTCCCTCGACCTGCTGGCAATACTTTGCCTAATGCAGCCCAGGATGCCATTTGCCTTCTTTGCAAGCAGGGGCACACTGCTGGCTCATGTTCAACCTGGTGTCCACCAGGGCCCCCACAGGGCCTTTTCTGCAAAGCTGCTTTCCAGCCAGGTGGCCCCCAGTGTGTACTGGTGCATGGGGTTGTCCCTCCCCAGGTGCAGGACTTTGCCCTTCTCCTTCTTGAACTTCATGAAATTCCTCTTAGCCCAATTCTCCAGCCTGTCCAGGTCCCTCTGAATGGCAGCACAACCATCTGGTGTGCCAGCATCTCCTCCTTGTTTTGTATTGTCTGCAAATTTGTCTCTACTGAAATTATGTTACGGCTTTTTCAGACCTCATCTTCAATTTGTCAGTTGAAAACTTGGTTTGAATTCTCATCCTGTCCTCTAGTGAGCTTGCAACACTCTTAGCTTGATATTTGCAAACTTAAGCCTACATTCTATGATTCTATGATTCCACTGTAACATCAAGTAAATGAAAAATAATTTTAGGCCATGGCAGGCCCTTTCAGAACCACATTAGATAATCCTTTAATTATGACAGTGCAACTTTAATAACTATTTTGTGTACAGTGGGGGTTTTTTTCCCAACAAAGTTGGGTATGCCAACACTATATATTCTTTCATCAGGATCAGACTTCACTGGTTTCCTGACAACACCTGCCTTTGTTAGAAGCCTCGTTAAGATCTGGATGAATACTGCTGCTGCTACTTTCCTTATCTACCAGGCTGTTACTTCCCAACATTTGTTTTACACTTAGTAAGAAACAAACGCTTTTGACATGGTTGATGGAGAAACTTGATTTTGATCTGCCTGTGTTCATCCGTGTGCATCACCATCTTTCTCCAGAGACATTTTAGAGTAAGAGGAGAAATGTGATGAATGTAGCGATCCAAAACTTGCTGCTATGACAAGATAGGGCTGTCCTTGGCTCTGAAGTCTGCTACTAATGTTTGTTTCTTTTCCTTCTGGAATATACTGGAGAATCTGAGGACAATCCTGATCTGGTGCTGACTTTAAGAAACACGCTGTTCTGGCAGGTGCTAACTTTAGGAAACACACTGATCTGGTTGGTGCTAACAAACTTTAGGAAACATCTCCTTCCATTGCCTTTGTTTAGCTACAGGTATGCTCATATTGCTTATACTGAGGAGGCTCATTGCAAAGCTGCTTGGATCCTCTTTGTGAAGACGGAATGAACTTGGAAGTATTTTTTAAAAATGCTGAATATCTTTTTAGAAAGAAACAAAAGTCCCTTCCGCCAGGAGTAGCAGAAATCAGTCTGAATCCCTCTCCAGTGCAAAGGCTATTGAATTATCTTTTTGGGGATTTTTTTTAGTCATGGAAACATGACCAATGTAGCTATTAAATAACTTACTCAGGCTGAAGTCAAAAGAACTTGAGGCAATGTGAGATAACACTTGTGAACTTTCTGTCCCTGAGGTTATCTTAGCTTGTTTAATCATACGATAACTTGTGCTGATGAAAGGGACTGATGCTAAGCTGGCTTATTTAGTAAAGTCTCAGGAGACAGAGGACTTCTGTTTCCTTGATGGGTAGCAAGCAAAGATTAAAGTCAGACAAGGTCATCATATCCTGATGTTATGGTGACCGGAAGTTTAACTCTGCTTGCTCTACTGCTGCTCTCTTAATTCTCTGATGCTGTTCTTTGCAGGTAGAAAGGAACAGCTTGGACTTGGAGGAACACTAAGTGTGTTGTCCTGTTGTAGTACTGCTGCTAGCTCTTTCTAGGACCATCTGTTTTAAAAAGAAGTGCTGCTGCTGGGGGGTAGGCAGCCTCTCTTGAGGCAGTAGCAAATGACTAAAACTGTTGCGTGGGTCATTGCTCTTGGATGGTGGAGCTGGGGAAGGTCTGTGTCATGTAAAAGACTTGCAATGAATTCTCTTTTATTCATCATGCAAACAAAACTGGGATCAATCTGAAATCCATTTCTCAGCTGGGGTGGGGGGAAGTCTTTTATGGGTAAAAGTGACCACCTACACGTTGTAGGAGTGTAGTTTTGGATCTCCAGCCTGGCAGCTAAGCCAGCTGGCACCCCCTAGAGCCAGGGATATGAATGGCATCATTCATCTTCCCTGTTTTTAACAGAACTGCAAAGTGGAAAAGTTTTGGCTTTTTACTAATAGTGGATATATTCTTTCTTATTTTTGATTACCAGAAATTAATTTTGAGAAGAGGATTACAAATAATTATAAAGTATCGATCTACGTAAATTGGTAGCTGTACTCAGTACATCAAATCTTCATTGCCCCTTTTGACTTCAGCAGTTGTTCTGGGAGGGAGATGGTCGGCATGTTCATGAAATGGCATTAAGAGCCATTACAGGGTGGCAAATATGTCCCTGTAACTAATTGAATCATGTGTCATAACTGGAGACCCATAGGGTTTTGTTTTCTCTCAAAGCTTTAGTGATACTTCAATTTGTGACTAGAAGAGCTGGAATTAGGTTTTTAACTTTTTTAAACCTGTGAGAACTGTTTAGGTAACCATCTGTCTTGTAACTGCAGTAAATGTGTGTATGCAACTTAGAAGCTGCATTGCCTTAGAGTGGATTCATTGAGGTCAAGCGTGGGCTGTCTGAGTTATAAGCAAAACACCTTCACTCCGTATTGAAATCTTGTCTTGGAATTTGACATTATTAATGTATCTACCTAGGACCTCAAATACAAAATATTTTTATTGTATAATAGGTGATGGAAATATTTTCTCTTTAAAACCATCAAAGGTGAGAAGACTTCTGGGCTGTGGCCACACCCCTGTGGTGCTAGTATTTAGGTAACATTTTTATATGGGAGACTACAAAATCATATTAACTATGCTCAGCAATTATACTCTTCTTGAGGCTTCTCCTTTCCTTCTCTTCACTGCCCTAAAGCTAATAAGCCCTTTCATTTAAAGGTGTTTTTGCACTCTAAAATGTAAGTTCAATGCCTTTGGAGATCAGTGTGCTGTGCAATCTTCTCTGTCTCCCTGCAATGCCAGCTGGTTTCATGTGGTAAATGCAATTGGAAACATAGACTGGGTAGTTTTCTTTTGTAAACCTCTGTCTTGGAGGTATGCAAGAGAACAAACACCTGTAAGACAGGTGTATAATCTGTGAGGGAGCTAGATATGCATTGCATGGCCTGATTACATGAAGAGCCAGTGTACCAACTGTTTGTGCTTTTGCTTTTACAGTCTCATCTGGAAACTGTTATCTTGGATATTTTTTCTTGAATGGACTTTCATGTTTTCTATTGTAATCTTGTGAATATTTTAATACACCCTTCC